GTTAACTTTCCTCATAGCAGCCCATATGGCACTGTGTTTTGGACCTGTAGCTAAAACAGTGCGACTAACACATCGAGGTTTTGGCTCTTGCTGAGCAGCGCTTGCACAGCATCATAACTTTCTCTTTTCCCCAGTCCGTGCTCCCCAGCGCGTAGGCTGGGGTGGGAAAGAGATCGGGAGGGGACACAGCTGGGACTGCCGACCCAGACCGGCTGAAGGGATAGTCGACATTGTATAACGTGGCACTCAGCAATAAAAACTGGGGTAGAGGGTGCGGGTGCTTAGGGTCAACCCACCACAAACATTCGCCTCAATAACTTGCAGAGAAAACTACAACAAAACCCAGCAAACAACAGGAAAGTAGCATTAGGAAAAGAAAATTCTTTACAGGATTTTTTTTGTGCATGTATCAGAGCAAGCTTAAAATACAAGAAACTGCTGGTTTTGTTACAAATCTTTCAAAAACACACCAACAAAGATAATATGATTTTACAAAAATGTAATGTGTGAACTACAGAACGTCACTATCACAGAAATAACTGATTAACTATTGAAACATTGCTTGTGCATCTTAACAAATTTTTAAGCAATGTCATATGTATATAAAATGACAAATACTACTGAGTGTATATTGATGGAACTTCCAAAAGCTCTTGATAAAACTGAAAAATTTAACTTTTTTTTTTTTGGTCAGGATCTATTTACTGCCAAACTGTCACACAGCACAAGTCTTCTGTTTTTAACAGATTACTCTCACCACAGTTCAGTCATGTATACATAAAACCACGGTTTACATTCTCCTTCTTCACTCCACTCACACTGCCCCCACCTAACCTGTGCTATTTATTCTCAGCTTCCATGGACGTTCTTTTCTGTTCAGACTCCTTCCTTTCATATCAAGCTATTATATGATGCTGGAGCTAGCAAGACAGCAATGGAAAAATCAGATACCAAATGAATTATGTTCAGATAGGCATGTGTGCGGAATTTGGGAGGACAGAGCAAGGGACCGGTGGTGAATTTGCCAGAGCATGCATGGTGATTATTCCTGAAATACAAGCAAGCAGGGAGAGACTTACTCCTCCAGTCCTTCTCTTAACATTTCTCAAGTACATGCAAGCCATAACTTCCCCCCATCAGGGCTATTCCTTCTTCTCTACTTCTGGCCCAGCAGATTAATCATCAGCAGCTAATGTCCTAGGCTGGGGCAGAGGCAGCAGGACAGTACTACTCCCAGGCAAATATCTATGATTTGCCTGACTCCCAGGCAAACACCTATGATAGTTATATAATTAATTTTGAGCTAGGGAAGCTGAAATTACGATTTGAGGGCAGGTCAGGCACTTGTGGGCTAATATGCTCTGTGCACCAAGTAGAGATTACGTGAGCTGCTAAGTCTCTGCAAACAGGAATAAGCATCACACCTGGTTGGACATAGACTTCCACATCAAGACTGCAGTAATTTGAAAGTTATGCAAGTGCTAAATTATTACTCACACCCACCCCCATAACAAAAGCACTGAAAAATAAGTCAGAAAGAAGAACAAAACTATGGGTTAGCAGTTATACAGCCTTCCTGTGCTTTAAATGACCACACATAATCCACTTTAACTGCACATCATGTTGCACCATACATTTCATTATCTTACCTGTACTGTCATTGTCATCTTTAACATAAAATCCTTTTAATCCCAGTTTATATAATTTTCGATCTCTGTAAAAACGAAGAGAGACATGGATGCAGAAGGTCATCATTAAAACAGACTTTTTTCTTACAGTAAAAACAGTCATTCAGCGGAACAACCTCCCCACAAACCTGGGAGAGTCCCCATCACGAGAGGTTTTAAGGTGCCATCGAGCAGGGTGCCAGACAACCTCACCGAGGCTCTCCTTCCCTCAGAACGCTGGCCCAGGTGATCATAGAATGGTTTGGAAGGGACCTTAAAGATCATCTAGTTCCAACCCCCCTGCCATGAGCAGGGACATCTTCCACTTGACCAGGTTGCTCAGAGCTCCATCCAACGTGGCCTTGAACACTTCCAGGGAGGGGGCATCCAT